CCGCGAAATGGCTTTAGGCCATGAAATCTGAGATGGGATCCATGTAAGAGAACAAAGTGTGGACTTTGGTTGACTTGCCGATGATCGGCAAGCCATAGAGAATGAATGGACCTTCAAGAAGAAGAGTGATGCTGACGGTAATGTTACTGTCTACAAAGCTCGACTTGTTGCAAAAGGTTTTCGACAAGTTCAAGGAGTTGACTATGATGAGACCTTCTCACCCGTAGCGATGCTTAAGTCTGTCCGAATCATGTTAGCAATTGCCGTATTTTATGATTATGAAATTTGGCAAATGGATGTCAAAACTGCATTCCTTAATGGATATCTCAAAGAAGAGTTGTATATGATGCAACCAGAAGGTTTTGTCAATCCAAAAGGTGCTAACAAAGTGTGCAAGCTCCAGCGATCCATTTATGGACTGGTGCAAGCCTCTCGGAGTTGGAATATACGCTTTGATAGTGTGATCAAAGCATATGGTTTTATACAGACTTTTGGAGAAGCCTGTATTTACAAGAAAGTGAGTGGGAGCTTTGTAGCATTTCTGATATTATATTTGGACGACATATTGTTGATTGGAAATGATACTGAATTTCTGAATAGCATAAAAGGAAACTTGAATAAGAATTTTTCAATGAAAGACCTCAGTGAACTGCTTATATATTGGGCATCAAGATCTATAGAGATAGATCAAGATGCTTAATTGGACTTTCACAAAGCACATACCTTGATAAAGTTTTGAAGAACTTCAAAATGAGCCAGTCAAAGAAAGGGTTCTTGCCTGTGTTACAAGGTGTGAAGTTGAGTCAGACCCAATGCCCGACCACAGCAGAAGATAGAGAGAAAATGAAAGTCATTCCCTATGCCTCAGCCATAGGTTCTATCATGTATGCAATGTTGTGTACCAGACATGATGTGTGCCTTGCCATTAGTTTAGCAGGGAGGTACCAAAGTAACCCAGGAGTGGATCACTGTACATTGGTCAAGAACATCCTGAAATACCTGAAAAGGACTAAGGATATATTTCTCGTTTATGGAGGTGACAAAGAGCTTGTCATAAACGGTTGCATCGATGCAAGCTTTGACACTGATCCGGATGACTCTAAGTCACAAATCGGATACGTATTTATATTGAATGGTGGAGCTGTCAGTTGGTGTAGTTCCAAGTAGAGCGTCGTGGTGGGATTTACGTGTGAAGTGGAGTACATAGCTGCTTCGGAAGCAGGAAATGAAGGAGTCTGGATGAAGGAGTTCATATCCGATCTAGGTGTCATACCAAGTGCATCGGATCCAATGAAAATCTTTTGTGGCAATACTGGAGCAATTGCCTTGGCGAAGGAATCCAGATTTCACAAGAGAACCAAACACATCAAGAGACGCTTCAATTCCATCCGTGATCAAGTCAAGGAGGAAGACATAGAGATTTGCAAGATACACATGGATCTGAATGTTACAAACCCGTTGACTAAGCCTCTCTCACGAGCAAAACATGATCAACACCAAGACTCCATGGGTGTTAGAATCATTACTATGTAATCTAGATTATTGACTCTAGTGCAAGTGGGAGACTGAAGGAAATATGCCCTAAAGGAAATAATAAAGTTGTTATTTATATTTCCTTATATCATGATAAATGTTTATTATTCATGCTAGAATTGTATTAACCGGAAACTTAGTACATGTGTGAATACATAGACAAACAGAGTGTCCCTAGTATGCCTCTACTAGACTAGCTCGTTAATCAAAGATGGTTATGTTTCCTAGCCATAGACATGTTTTGTCATTTGATAAACGGGATCACATCACTATAGAATGATGTGATGGACAAGACCCATCCATTAGCTTAGCATAATGATCGTTTAGTTTTATTGCTATTGCTTTCTTCATGACTTATACATGTTCCTCTGACTATGAGATTATGCAACTCCTGAATACCGGAGGAACACATTGTGTGCTATCAAACGTCACAGCGTAACTGAGTGATTATAAAGATACTCTACAGGTGTCTCCGATGGTGTTTGCCGAATTGGCATAGATCGATATTAGGATTTGTCACTCCGTGTATTAGAGAGGTATCTCTGGACCGTCTCGGTAATGCACATCACTATAAGCCTTGCAAGCAATGTGTCTAATGAGTTAGCCACGGGATGATGCATTACAGAACGAGTAAAGAGACTTGCCCGTAACGAGATTGAACTAGGTATGATGATACCGACGACCGAATCTCGGGCAAGTAACATATCGATGACAAAGGGAACGACGTATGTTGTTATGCGGTTTGACCGAGAAAGATCTTCGTAGAATATGTAGGAGCCAATATGAGCATCCAGGTTCCGCTATTGGTTATTGATCGGAGATGTGTCTCGGTCATGTCTACATAGTTCTCGAACCCGTAGGGTCCGCACGCTTAACATTCGATGATGATTTGTATTATGAGTTATGTGATTTGATGAACCGAAGTTTGTTTGGAGTCCCGGGTGAGATCACAGACATGACGAGGAGTCTTGAAATGGTCGAGACATAAAGATTGATATATTGGAAGGTTGTGTTTGGACACCAGAATGGTTTCGGAAAGGTTCGGGCATTTTCCGGAGTACCGGGGGTTACCGGAAACCCCCCGGGGAGTTAATGTGCCTTCATGGGCCCTAGTGGAGAGAGGAGGCGGCGGCCAGGTGGTGCCCCCCCCCCCCAAGCCCAATCTGAATTGGACTAGGGTTGGGGGCCCCTTTTCTTCTCTTCTCCTCCTCCTTCCCTCCTTCTCCTTGTGGGAATAGGAAAGGGGGGGGGGCGAATCCTACTTGGACCGGGAGTCCAAGTAGGAATCCCCCCCATGGCGCGCCCCCCTTGGGTCGGCCACCTCTCCTCCCCCTTTTATATACGTGGGACGGGGGCACACTAAGTCTTCTCTTAGCCGTGTGTGGTGCCCCCCTTCACAGTTACACACCTCAGTCATATCGTCGTAGTGCTTAGGCGAAGCCCTGCGCTGGTAACTTCATCATCACCGTTGCCACGCCATCGTGCTGACGAAACTCTCCTTTGTCCTCAACTGGATCAAGAGATCGAGTGACGTCATAGAGTCGAACGTGTGCTGAACGCGGAGGTTCCGTACATTCGGTGCTTGGATCGGTTGGATCACGAAGACATTCGACTACATCAACCGCGTTAATAAACGCTTTCGCTTTCGGTGTACGAGGGTACGTGGACACACTCTCCCCTCTCGTTGCTATGCATCTCCTAGATAGATCTTGCGTGATCATAGGAAATTTTTTGAAATACTGTGTTCCCCAACACGTTCATCTTGGATCCTTGTGTCGGGCTCATAACCAAGGAGAGTAAAGATATCGGTCACCCAAACTAAATTAATCAGAGTGAGGTCACATCAAATGGAGGGTCTCGAGCTATTTGCTCCAGTTTCCTTTCCACATTGGCCAGATGATCCCTTGCAACTGTTGAGCGCAACACCTCCCATTGGGACATACTTGCCACGCTGTCTCCAAATCACCTGCATTCTTTACCAATGGGCACGATTGAAGCAAATGTCAATGCGAAGTTTTCATAAAGCCCCTACGGTGTTGTTCCTTTAGTGATTTATTGTTCTGTCTTTGGGTTTTGTTCCCTTGTTGTTAGATACTCCTTTGAGAGGGTCGCTTTTGTAGTGCAAATACTCTAGTTGCTCCCAAGTGTTGTAAACATGTTTTGTAGGATGTTGCCTTGTTTTTGTAATAAAATGAGGCAGAGGGGAGTTCCCTTTTATTCAGAAAAATAAATCATAAAGCCCACAAAGCAACTGCATAATCAACATTCGCAACACAATGGTTGCTATTAGAGCATTACTATACATTCAACTCTTTTTGTACAACACACATTCGACGTTTTCCATCCAGCCATTTGTAATTCTGTCCCTACATCATCTGGCAGTGCGAAGCATTTATCAGATGCATATTGGACACAAAAAAACGTCGTGTGCGCATCAATTCCGTTATTATCACTAACACACCAATTAAAATTAGCAAGAGCATAAAAGGAGCTAAGAGAATACATTCCTTTAGATTCAAACTTCTGAGATCAATGCATCCTTCTCCCCGCGTGAATAGAGTTAGCAATATGAACTAGAACAAACAACTGATTTAACAGATACTGGTTGAAACATTTCATAAAATTAATTTTGTGTTGATGGCTATCCCAAATTTTATCCACAATTACATATTTTTCTTCATTTCTTTGCCCCACACGTCGCCGCCGAGGGGGACTAGGGAGAGAAACATCGGCGAGGGGAATCGATCTGGTAAAAGGTGTCGCCGCCGCTGTTGTGCATTGCTGCTTTTTTTTTTCTTTCATTGCGTTTGTGACTTCGATAGGATTGAGCGACTAGCGCGAATGCAGTTGCACATTAGCGCATGCGTTTTCCTATTGGATTGTGATTTTTTTTCTTCTTTAGCTTTTGGTAGAATCTTGAGACCATTTGTAACGACAATGTTACTCGATGGATAACATCGAAAACAAACTACAATTGCAAATGGAGAGAATGATAGGACTGGACTTTCCGTGAACCGGGATTGGAAGTAAAGAAAAATACTTCGTATTTTGTGCTCAACTATTGGATTTAATTGAAAAATATAAGTTATATGTCATAAAAAATTTATTGGTAGATTTATATTTGGAAAAAAATTACAATGGTACTGTTTTTGTTACATACTCTCTCCGTAAACTAATACTCCCTCTGTAAACTAATATAAGAGCGTTTAGATCACTACTTTAGTATTCTACATTCTTTTATATTAGTTTATGAAAGGAGTATAAAAATGTTTAGATCACTAAAGTAATTATCTAAATGTTTTTATATTAGTTTACAGAGGGAGTACAGTATAAAATTGTATTTTGATATAGTTGGTACTCGACCCGTTCGTCACCCGTAGGCAGCAGGTACAACAGCCTCAACTGTCTGTTCTCTGAATAAAGTGGCGGCGGAGGAAACAAAGAACGACGACACCAGAGGGCCCGACATGCCGTTCCCCACGCGCCTCCCGCCGCCGGCCACCGCCGCGGCCGCTACCGCCGCGGCCGTGCTCGCGGCTGTCGCACTGCGCCGGTACCTCTCCTCCCGCTCCCGCGCGGCCGCGGCCGCGCATAGCACCAGCGGCGGAGCCCCAGCCGCCACCACGTTCCTCGTGCTCTCCGGCAAGTCCCCCCAGGACCAGCAGCTCCTCGCCTCCGCCGCCGGCGAGCTCTCTCTGGCGGAGGAGGGCGGGGGCGAGCTCGCCGTCTCCCTCGCGCTCGACGCCAGCGGGGACGCGGGCTTCGACGCGGCCGTCTACATGGGCGCGCTCCAGGCGCGGCGCTTCGGGAGGTGGATGCTCTGGTCGCCGAGGATGGCATCCACGCACGACCTCGTGACGCAGTGAGTGCAAGATTTTGTTCTTTTGAGTCTCGCTTCATCAGAAAAAGAAAAGAGACGATGGATTTCCTCCTGAATAGCTCAAATTGGGCTTACTCTTTGCTTCCCCTCTGCTTGCAGGAACTTCGCCAAACTTCCGGTGGGCGTCGTGTGCGTCACAGACGTGCAGTTCAAAGGCAGAGGTGCGTCAAATATGTATGCCAATTGGTGCCTGTTTTTGTTGGCCCTTTTAGTGTGTATCTCTGATGATTTTTCAATCTCGGTGATCAATGTCTGTCACTTTGGTGGGGAGATGAATTATGCTGTTCTGTTTGTTGTATGTTCAGTTGATGTTACTGAAGATCTGAAGTTGCTGCATGCTGTATGGGATAAATAGTTTGAGAAATAGCAAATTTTTTGAATGAATTTGGATCTGTAAATGGTCCATCTGAGTATCCGAATCCGATGAACGGCGGTTAAAAAAGTAGTCAATTGTTGAGAAAATAATGACCCATGGCATGTACGCGATGAACAGGTTTTCAAATTTTGTCTTGGTGAAAAGTGTAGTTCCACAAATAGATGATTTCTACCATTTGTAGATCTTCTGATTGTAGTTTGACAACTTCAACCGAACTTTTATTTTACTAGTTGATTCCACCTTCTATGGTTCTAGAAATTCATTGTTTTTGTATGCTTAATTGAGCAGAGCTCGTTAATATTGATCTTCTGCCAATGACTTTGCAGGAAGATCAAAGAATGTGTGGGAATCACCTCCAGGTTGTCTCATGTTCTCGTTTACATCACAGATGAATGATGCCCGCAAGCTTCCCCTTATGCAATATGTCGTTTGCCTTGCCATGACCGAAGCCATCAAAGATTTGTGTTGTGCGAAGGTGAGGGTTTATGAAGTAATATTATATTTGGTGTTTCTTACGCATATGTGATGTTCACTGATTGCAGTATGATATTTCATAAGGCTAATTTCCTTGTCATGACATCCTGTACTATTTGTGTGATAACACCCAGGGACTTCCAGAGCTAGATGTAAGGATAAAGTGGCCTAATGATCTATATCTGAAGGGGTTAAAAGTTGGTGGCATTCTTTGTACCTCATCATATGAGCCGAAAGTCTACAATATTTGCACTGGTAAGTATGTTCCAAATGGTGCTGATACTAATACCGGAAGGTCATTCATTATAAAAACTTGGAATCCTTTACCCTTTTCAGGTATTGGTTTAAATGTCGACAATGAAAAGCCTACTACATGTTTGAATGCTGCACTCCAAGAACTAAAGGCTAATTCACCAAGACTTAAACGAGAAGACGTACTAGCATCATTCTTCAACAAATTTGAAATTCTTTTTGATATTTTCTCAAATCAAGGTAAATTCATGTCAATAGTTTCTCTTCTTGAGTTGAAAAGCATTATGCTCATGCTATGAGTGTAGTGAACTTTTGTAGATAAGTTTACTTTGCCTTAGTGAGTGATGTTTGCGAATTAATCTGAATTTTCTAACATTTTGTGGTAAATTTGGCACTATAATATTCTCTATCTCTACTGCAGGATTTCAGGCCCTCGAGGAGCAATACTACAACTCATGGCTTCACAGGTACGGAGTATTATCTCGATATTGGTTTGTTGGTCTTCTATTAGCAAACTTCCTACTTAAGTGCAGTATGTATCTGCTACCATTTGACTTCAATCTTTTTACCAATATGGTTTCATATGGTCTCATTATTTATCCTTTCATACTAACTGAATATTCACTGTTATGTAGTGGCCAAAGAGTCGTCGTACAGGATGCGCATGAAGGCCAGTCTGTGAACAGTGTGGTCACGATTAAGGTAAAGAGAGAACTTGGACAGGATTGATGAGCAGATATTTTCTCTTCTCTGACCACCAACTAAATTGTTTCAGGGGCTAACACCAAGCGGCTACTTATATGCTGTTGGTGAGGACGGCAAGAGCTATGAGCTGCACCCTGATGGTAACAGGTAATGCGATTTGTTATCCATCACCTACGTTTTCCTCGTTATAATTACTCTATATCCGTAATGTACTACTGTATATATGATGTGTGTCTGTCAAGAACGTAATGGTCTGCCACAATTACCGTTTTGATCGAAAAAAATCTGACACAGTTTCCTGTGTTGCAGCTTTGATTTCTTCACAGGATTGGTGAGGAGAAAGATAGATGCATAGTACGCTGTCAGTATATGGGCTCCAGTGTATTCTACGAACACAGGTATTATTCTCCAGAGAAATCAGAGTTATCTTCTCATGGCAGCTTACTTATGAGAAGCTGGTTTCTCCAAAAAAAAAAACTTATGGGAAGCTGGTCTCATACTATAACTGTTACAAACTCCGAGCTACTGTACAGACTGCCTGTTCAAATAGAATGCCATCGACGGGATCCCGCGGGGCATGAAGAAAACATGAGCCCTGGCCTGGAGGCTGAAGCACAGGGCTTGGCTGAACCTGAATTAGCATGGACCAACAAATCAGGAGCGAACCGAGCGAAAGAATTGTAGGAAAAGGGCGGGGTCTCTGAATACAGTGCTAAGCTATTTTGTAAATAGTTTGAAAACGGTGTGCTCTATATACTTGTGTTTCTGTAACAAGTGCCGAGTGTGTGAGTTAATGTAAGAAAAAAACATCGAGCGCAGTTTTTGTGGAGGTTGAAATGAAGTTAAGAGCTGAACTATGGCTTTTCTTTTTCTGAGAAAAAAGTTTGAACTATGTTCCAAACTGCTGAACTAACCTTTGGTTTGTGCGAAGCTCTTTCTGCTTCCCCTGTTTCGTATCGAGCTTCAGAAATCAAAAAAAGAAAAGGGAATTCAGTTTTGTGAAAGACTAAAGACGGAAAATTTAATTCATTAGGGGTATTAGAGCAACTTTAATGGGGCGACCCATTTCGTCCGCCCGCGTCCGTTTGGGTTGGCGTGGACAAAAGTGGCGGCCCAACGCGCCGACCCAAACTCAAATCGTGTCCGCCCGGCGTCCGCGCCGACCCATTTCCGGCTCAAAATTACGCCTGGAATGCGTCGGCGCGGACGCGCCGCGCGTCTCCTCGCCGTCCGCCGCGTCCCCACCCCGCGGCCACCCAACCGCCACCGGTCGTCTTATTTATGACGACCACCGACAGCGGGCCCACGCGTCAGCCAGTGCGTGCGTCCTTTTTTAACCACGCGTGTGGCGGGGTCGGCCTTATCCGCTTCTCACGTCCACATCTGGCCCCCCACCACTTCCTTTGCTTCCTCGCCGGCGACCGCAAACCCTAGCGCGCGCCATGGGCCTCTTCGGCAAAAGCAATGGCAAAGGGAAGGGCACCCCCGACGCCTCGTCATCCCGTGCTCCCCCTTCCCCTTCATCGCCGGCGCGTTTTCTCCCTGGACGCCGGCGCCTGCACATCCCGGTGCACCAAGCGCGGTGGCACTGGGAGTAAGCGCTTCCTGCCTCCACCCACTTGGCCGGAGGAGGCCTACTCATGGACGGGCCAGTACGGCGAGTGGGTGAGCGCGCCGTCCACTTCGCCGCGACGCCGGAGGAAGAGGCGGCCCACCTCGAGCGATGGATGGAGCACTGACTCCGCCAAGAGCAGGCCGACGGCGAGGAGCAAATGCGCTACGAGGCCATGCTCCAACGCGACGCGGAGGCGCTCCGGCTCGGGGAGGAGGAGGAGGAGCGCGCGCGGCTTGCAATGCCGCCGCCCCAGCAGACGCCGGAGGAGGCTGCCCTGGCAGCGTACCAGGCGGCGTTCGGGTGGGCTGGCCCTGCTCCGGTCTTCATCGACCTCACCGACGACAACGGCGTCGAGGGTAAGGGCAAGGGCAAGGCCGACAACGTCTAGGGCAGCGTGCGGGGCGGCAGCAGGTGGGCGCAGACTTTTTTTAATGTTTTATTTAATGTTTATTAGATCTAGGTGGACTTTGGCCGGCATTTGACCGGCCACTATTATGTTTAATTATGTTTATTTCATGCAACTTGTTTTTTTCCACCCCGGCACATTTGGGTCGGCCTCCCTATTGAGCGGTCAAGCCGACCCATTTTAAAATGCGGACGCCGGCATCCGCCTGGCCGACCCAAACGGACAAAAGACGGACAAAGCGCGCGTCCGTTTGGGTCGCCCCGTTGGAGTTGCTCTTACTCTACTCTAACAAGGTGAAGTATCTGGTGAAAATCTGGAAACTCGCCGCGTGGGTCATCGGATCGACAAGGAACGGATCAGATAAGAGCTTTATTATATTAGAATAATAATATAACTTTTGTTCTCGCTGAGGTTCACCTTCTCGGCTGCGGCTGCGAGCCTCACGAGTCCAAATGGGCGGCTCCGGCGGTCATATCCCTCCACCCCAGCTTCCTGGAAACACATACTCCGAGTCCCCAATCTTCTCGCCCCCTGCTTTAATAAAACCCTCTGCTTTGCGTTCGTTGACCCGCAAGCTCCGCTTTCCAGTCTCTGCTCTTGCCCTCCGTCTCTTCACCTCAGCTCTTGCAGCAGAGGCGGCCAATGGCGCAGGACGACCCGGTTGTCTCTGCGCAGTGGCTGCAGCAGCACCTAGGGCAGCCCGACATCAAGGTGAAATAACCGCTCATCTGCCTCACGCTTTCCCTTTCGATTCCGGAGGATATATTACCTCCAGTTTTGCCAGCGTTTCAGAAGCATGTTCTTGATTTCTCATTATCTGGTTTATTATCCCCATCATGTGGAGGACACTTTAGTGATTGCTATCAGAAGCAACTGAGTCTTAATTAGTACTCCCTCCATTCACAAATATGAGATGTTTTGGATATTTTGGTATGGACTACATACGGATCGAAATGAGTGAACAAACACACTAAAACGTGTCTGTACAACAACAACAAAGCCTTTAGTCCCAAACAAGTTGGGGTAGGCTAGAGGTGAAACCCATAAGATCTCGCAACCAACTCATGGCTCTGGCACATGGATAGCAAGCTTCCACGCACCCCTGTCCATAGCTAGCTCTTTGTCGATACTCCAATCCTTCAGGTCTCTCTTAACGGACTCCTCCCATGTCAAAATCGGTCGACCCCGCCCTCTCTTGACATTCTCCGCACGCTTTAGCCGTCCGCTATGCACTGGAGCTTCTGGAGGCCTGCGCTGAATATGCCCAAACCATCTCAAACGATGTTGGACAAGCTTCTCCTCAATTGGTGCTACCCCAACTCTATCTCGTATATCATCATTCCGGACTCGATCCTTCCCCGTGTGGCCACACATCCATCTCAACATACGCATCTCCGCCACACCTAACTGTTGAACATGTCGCCTTTTAGTCGGCCAACACTCCGCGCCATACAACATTGCGGGTCGAACCGCCGTCCTGTAGAACTTGCCTTTTAGCTTTTGTGGCACTCTCTTGTCACAGAGAATGCAAGCTTGGCGCCACTTCATCCATCCGGCTTTGATTCGATGGTTCACATCTTCATCAATACCCCCATCCTCCTGCAACATTGACCCCAAATACCGAAAGGTGTCCTTCCGAGGTACCACCTGGCCATCAAGGCTAACCTCCTCCTCCTCACAGCTAGTAGTACTGAAACCGCACATCATGTACTCGGTTTTAGTTCTACTAAGCCTAAACCCTTTCGATTCCAAGGTTTGTCTCCATAACTCTAACTTCCTATTTACCCTCATCCGACTATCATCAACTAGCACCACATCATCCGCAAAGAGCATACACCATGGGATATCTCCTTGTATACCCCTTGTGACCTCATCCATCACCAATGCAAAAAGATAAGGGCTCAAAGCTGACCCCTGATGCAGTCCTATCTTAATCGGGAAGTCATCGGTGTCGACATCACTTGTTCGAACACTTGTCACAACATTATTGTACATGTCCTTGATGAGGGTAATGTACTTTGCTGGGACTTTGTGTTTCTCCAAGGCCCACCACATGACATTCCGCGGTATCTTATCATAGGCCTTCTCCAAGTCAATGAACACCATATGCAAGTCCTTCTTATGCTCCCTATATCTCTCCATAAGTTGTCGTACCAAGAAAATGGCTTCCATGGTCGACCTCCCAGGCATGAAACCAAACTGATTTTTGGTCACGCTTGTCATTCTTCTTAAGCGGTGCTCAATGACTCTCTCCCATAGCTTCATTGTATGGCTCATCAGCTTAATTCCACGGTAATTAGTACAACTCTGAACATCCCCCTTGTTCTTGAAGATTGGTACTAATATACTCCGTCTCCATTCTTCTGGCATCTTGTTTGCCCGAAAAATGAGGTTGAAAAGCTTGGTTAGCCATACTATCGCTACGTCCCCTAGACCTTTCCACACCTCAATGGGGATACAATCAGGGCCCATCGCTTGCCTCCTTTCATCCTTTTTAAAGCCTCCTTCACCTCAGACTCCTGGATGCGCCGCACAAAACGCATGCTGGTCTCATCAAAGGAGTCATTCAGTTCAATGGTAGAACTCTCATTCTCCCCATTGAACAGCTTGTCGAAGTACTCCCGCCATCTATGCTTAATCTCTTCGTCCTTCACCAAGAGTTGGCCTGCTCCGTCCTTGATGCATTTGACTTGGCCAATATCCCTCGTCTTCCTCTCCCGGATCTTAGCCATCTTATAGATGTCCCTTTCACCTTCCTTCGTGCCTAACCGTTGGTAGAGGTCCTCATATGCCCGACCCCTTGCTTCACCAACAGCTCGCTTTGCGGCCTTCTTCGCCATCTTGTACTTCTCTATGTTGTCTGCACTCCTATCCAGGTATAGGCGTCTGAAGCAATCTTTCTTCTCTTTAAGCGCCTTCTGGACATCATCATTCCACCACCAGGTATCAAGGGGCCACCTTCTCTTTAAGTGTCTGTACGTTCGGTTAAAAAAAATTAGAACATCTTATATTTGTGAACGGAGGGAGTATATTTACCAATGTTATTCCACTCCCTGTCATGTTGTTTTCCTATTATTGTTGTTGTGCCCAAGAAAATATCAAGGGGCCACAGGAATCTGTGCTGTCTTTTTTTTTACATTTGACTGCTTGGTTCAGATACTGGATGCTTCCTGGTACATGCCACACGAGAGCAGGGACGCATGGCAAGAATACCAGGTTTCTTTCTGGACCAGCTTCGCTGCAAACTCTTCACCCCTTTTGTGCCAATGTTTCTCCCGGCTAAGATGTTCAGATATGCTCAGGTGGCCCATATTCCTGGCGCTCTACTTCGACA